ATGTCAGTCTACAGACTAAGGTGTACCTCATCCAGGTCATGGTTTTCACAACAATTAAGCTATGCATCAGAAAGCTGGAAAATGACTAGGGATGACAGAAGAAGAAATGATGTCTTTGAGTTGTGGTGTTGGAGAAGAACAGATTCATCTTGGAGAGGGCGAAATCAAGCTGCTCCTTGGAGACAAGGATTTTGAAGCTCTGACATACTTCGTCTGACAGACTGTGGGCATGTTGCAAGGAGGGATCAGTCCTTAGAGAGGGAGTTGGAAGAGCGGAGGGACAGCACAAGAGAGGGAGACCCTGGATGAGATGGACTGGCTCGGTGACTCGGGTAATGCGGCAGGTGTGTCAGACAATGAGGTTGGCTCAGGACAGAGCAGGGTTCACAGCTGCAGTTCACAGACAGGCTGGTTATGAGTCACAAGCAACTCGATGGGCCTTAACAAGAACTCAAATTTCTTTCTAATTACATTAGAGGAGTTAATCATAATGTTCATTTATTTGTTAGTTTAAAGCCAATAAATATTGTTATTTTCTTTCTTTCTTTCTTCTGGTCTGAGTAAGTTTACACAGTGCATGAGTTTCCCATTCAGCCATTTACACAGTTTGGTGACCCATTAAATCCTCTCAGCCTAACAGCACTCTCCCTCCTTGCGTTTCCACCTCCACTACTCCTCTCCGCATCTCTCCCGGCCACCATCTGAGCTTTGTTTGCACACGGATGTCTGTTTCTCGGTGCACATCAAAGCTACACTGACACTCAACTGTGCTGTTAAGTGTGTGAGAACTGACATCCATCAAGTCATTTCTGACTCCAGGCCCCGTTCCTCACATTTCTGAGGCTGTAAATCTTCATTTTCTCCAGTACAGCACCTGGTAGATTTGAACCGCTGACCTTTGACTGGCTCCCCAGTATGTTACATACTACGACAAAAGTTTGAAATAGAGTGAGGAGGACCAAAGGGGGCAAACTTTCAGGTGAGCTCGTGCTGTTGGGAAAACGGGGCCGGACATTTACTTCCCTAGTACAGCGCTACAGGGCCCTTCAATGTCAGGACGACTCACAGAGCCCCTCGGACACCTGATCCTGTCCTGCGCCATCCTCAGTCTCTGACACACCCAAGCCCATTCCGGCTGTCACTGCGTCAATCCACCGCGTTGAGGGTCTTCCTCTCTTCTGCTGACCTTCCCTGGCACGATGTTCCTCTCCAAGGAGCCAGCAACCTTGACTCCAGGGAGCACTCTGGCTGCCCTTTCCACGAGACGCATCTGTTTGTTCCAACTCGTCACACCACCAAGACGACGCAGCAGCCAAGCCTCGTCTCAGTGGACAGGACAGTCTGCACCTCACCAACACCGCCCACTGCTAGTCTGCAGCTCCCGTTCCGTGTGACGTGAGGAGCTATGACGCTGGACACCGAGGTGTCCGTCACACAGCAGCAGGGAACACGTGGTGGAGAGGACTCAACGAGCTTCCGGAGCGAGGAAGCAGGACTGGAATCAAGCTGAGACAGCGCCATGGACCCCACAGCAGCCTGGAATATGAACTCTGTGCTGGGCACCCCTGCAGGCGAGCAGGTCCCCATTCCGTCAGTCCAGAATAGGAACTCTGCACTGGGGTACCCTGTGAGGGTGAGCCGGTCCGTCAGCCCAGAATATGAGCTCTGGGCTGGATATCCGAGGGCAAACTGGTCCCCACTGTCAGCAGGGAACACGAACTCTGTACTAGACACGCGAGGGTGAGCTGGTCCCCACTCCCCTCCAGCCTCTCCTGGGTTTCTGAAACTAACTCGTACAGCGTAGAGAGCCTGTTTTTCTACCCTGGAACAAGAGGTGGATTCAAACTGCTAACCTTTGTGTTAGTAGTGGAACTCTTTTTTTTTTACTCTCAGAAAAATAAAATGTTTTATACACATTTCTGTATATACAACTGAACAACATTTTACATGTCCCTTTTGCACAGCAAAAGATATAAACATTTAACTCTGAGAACACAGTTATGTTAAGTAGTGGAACTCTTAGCCCCAGCACGCCTTCCTGTTGGAAAATACTCAAAATACAACTAGGAAAGCAAAGAGCTGCCTCATCAAAGCAGATTGATGTCACTCATGTGGAAAGAACCTTGTGGTCAGCAAAGGCCCTTCATTTTCACGACAGACAATGAGGAGAAACAGCTGTAAACTTGCTTTGAAGGTCAAGGTGGAATGCACAAGGTAAGAATGTAGAGAAATGAAGCTGTCAAAAAGGAAATGCAACGCATAGAGATTAATATCCTCGGCATTCATGAGTAAAAAACCGTATGACCCACTACGCCAGGAAGGAGACACTGGAGAGGATTTCCTCATCTGTCCTGAAGTGCACCGCTGTCAGTGAGGACAGCAGCCACAGCACAGCAAACACTACCACCAGGAGAAACAATGCGACCTTCCTCCGGACTTCTGTAATCCAACGTGGATCCAAACGCAGCCGAGACACACTAATAACTTGTAATTACAATGAAGATTAAAACAAAGGACTGGCAGTGGGAAACAATGGCCTTGACGACATAGTCACACCAGAGACTATGTGACAAGAGTTCCACAGCAGTGTGGGAAACAACGTATACAAACGTTTTAAACAAACCAGTATTAAGTCTTTTTAAAAAAAGAAACACACACACACACACCACCCCACCCCACCCCCAGAAGACAGAGATCTGGTGGCTTACAGGTGAGGAAGTGCACACCTAATGCAGTTAAGTGGTTTGAATCCAGCAACTGCCTCACAAGAGGAGAAATCAACTCCTCTGTGATTTACTGCCTCGGAAAACTTCAGGAGGATCAACTACGAGTTGTTTTTTATTCAAAGGTTCATGGCTGGAATCCAGTCTAGAAGTCGTCTGCAGGAGCTGGATTCTACAGAGGCTTGTTTGCTGGTACTGCTGCCCTTGGGCCTGCTTTTAATTGGTTTTGGTCAAACATTCTTCTAAGTGGTAGAACACTGGTCTGTCCATTTGCTGTAGAGAGGTAACTGGAGTTGCTGTGATGCTGAACACTGTGACATTGATGTGTCAAATATGATAATGGCTACCCATGGTGGACAGTGTTTGGTGGAGCTCCCCAATTAAAACAAGCTTGGAAGCAGGAGTGGCATCCACTTCCTAAATAGCTTACCTCTGTAAACGATGAACTTGGAGACATGACCAGATAAAGTGTTCAGGTCTTTCATTCATAGGTTCTCTGTGAGTCTATAACTCAATGGCACTTAACAACAAAGGTTCACAGAAGAGGAGTGAGACACACCCACCTGTGGTGTCCCGTCATTACAGCACCAGAGATCTGACACACACCCACCTGTGGTGTCCATCACACCACACTGTGCAGCCTGGGAGCGCGTCCACCACATCCCACATCACGCCATGGCCCCTGCACCGTGCACTGTGGTTTTGTTTGAGCCTCTGAGGACACTGATGAGAAATCCCAGACCCTGTGCTGCCGCTCACCCCCCACCAGGAGTGATCAGACTGGGCCCGGTTTAACCGGTCAGCAGCAGGACACAGGCAGCGCTGGCCCTCAGCCCCCGTGCAGCCATATGCACACTAAGAGACCCCAGCTAGTGTAGACACGGCTTTAAACCTGAAGCATGCTCGCGACTCCACGGAATCCACTCCGCTGGGTCCTGAACTAAACTAAGGCGCCCTGGTGGGGTCACGTGCGGGCCGCTCACTGAAGGTCAGGGATTCTAACCCACAGGAAGAAAGCGGGCAGCCCCCACGTGTCTGGAGGGTCACTGAGAGCTGCTGCTCCCTCACAGGCTGGGGACGGAGGCCTGGTGCTGACACGCACATCCCCACGGCTTGCAGGGAGCGGAGGAGCGTGTGTCGGTGAAGGCGAGGTGTTATCAGAACAAGAGACCCTAAACCTACAGCTAACGTGGGGCCAGAGGCAGGGAGCTGACGAGGAGGGGAAGGCAGGCGGAAAAAAGGTGTACAAAAGACTCCACAACAGGAGGAACAAAATGTACCGAGACGGCAGCTCACGGCCATCCAGAGATAACGGGATTCAGTGCGACAGCTTCATCTCACCAAAGGGACCAAATCAAAGGCGCGGATGCAAACGCAGGCCCAAGCGGCGTGTCGTAGGTGTGACAAAGGTCGAAGGCTAGAGAAGAGCAGTCACCAGTGGACAGGGCCTGACATTCCCATCAGGTGAAGCAAATCCAGAGACCATCAGAGAAAGAACATTCTGTAACAAGGATCAAGACCACACCTGTCCCACATCTGTGCTACGGAAAACAACTCCCCACATCCGGAGTTACAGGGGTGCATGGGGCTGAGCTGTAAGCCAGCATTCCTGAGCAGAGTGCGGAAACACAGTGACGGGAGTGGAGGCGAGCTGAGCTGTAACCCGGCCTTCCTGTCTGGACTGTAGACATGGGGAAGACGGGAGGGGAGGGGGCTGAGCCGTAACGTCTCCGGAGAGGACCGCTGAGCTCTCTGATTGGGTCTCTGCAGCGAAAACCTTTATGGGAAGAGACTGTCCGTCTTCCACCCAAGGTGCTACGACTGGTGGATTTGAACCATCGACCATTCGGTGAGCAGTCTAACACGTAACGTGTTACGCCACCAGAGCTAAAAAGAAACCAACCGCAAGCTTCACTGTCAGAGTCAATGCTGGTGGACAGACCGCCCACAGGGCATCGGAAGTGACCATCTTGACAGAAGCAGGCGGCCTTGGCTCTCTCCCACACAGCAGCTGATGGCTTCAAACCACCGTCCTTTCCGTTTGCAGCCGAGTGCTTATCCCACTGTGTCACCAGAGCTCCCTGGAAACACAGCAGGGTTTGCTGAGCCTGGAGAGTTACGGGAAGAGTTCTCGGGAGAATCAATCTCTCTCTCTCTCTCTCACACACACACACACACACGACGGGCCAAGTGAGACTGCTTTATTGGACCCACGTCTATCCCACGAGCACCACGCATGTGCAGACCCAGTCCCAGCAGGACACTGTGCGGTGGCCGTCAGAACATCATGCCTTCCAGCCCGTCCTCCATGAACTTCTTGTAAAGCGCCATGAACTTGGCCACGAAGGCCTCCAGGTGGTAGACAGCCTTGCTGCCCAGCTGCAGCCGGTGCTCGTAGGAGGCCGCTGCCTGGGCCACCTCGGCCTTGAGCTGTCCGTCACAGTTGTGCAGCAGCTCCGAGAGCAGGCCCTGCGGAGACAGAGCGTCCAAGGCTTGAGGGCTCTGTGTCCCACAGGCAGTCTCCCTAACGGGCAGGGGCCCCGGGTTACCAACAAGGTCCCGCTGCCAAGACCGACCGGGGGCGCACAGTTCTAAGGTAACCTCGGCGAGGAAAGCATTCCCAGGACTGAAAAGGCCCACCAAGATGGCTGAGGAGACTGTGCTGAAAGCAGGGCTGGACCACCACGCGTGAATGCATGCGTGACGGGACTCGAGCGGAGCGGACAAGCTCATAATCTCAGGATGGTTCCTGTGCCTTATTGGACGTGCACAAGTTCCCCAACGCTGTCACCCGGGTCCGTCAGCATCTTCTAAACCCTCAATGCCGTCACCAACTCAGTCATCTCCAACTAAAAGTAAACAGCCTCACTGCTCTTCTGGAACGTGAAAAACAGTGCTTGCTCACCACTGTATTCTAAATATTTCACCTTCTCTCTTTACAAAACTCCACCAAATGCAAAGGTGTGCGGACACGAACACAAGCTGCTTCAGAGAGCGCATCAGCTCAATTCTAACAACTGACCGCACCTGCAGACATAGAGGCCACGGCCCGCAGGGGCCCAGGGACTGGGGAGCTGACCCGCACATCTTCTACCTCGGAGTGGCTGGCGGTCCCAACCGCTCTCCCCTCTGGGATCCTTGTTAGAGGCAGACTGCGGTGCTGTGTGTAGTAATCTTGAGCCAATATCAGCCTCCTCTAACAGGGAATCCTCGTTGGCGGGATACGATGGGATGTATCCTCCGCCCACGGGGCCGGGAAATCACGGCCACACACCTCCAGGCTCTGGGGAAACTCTGCCCCTGGCTGCATGACGTCTGCGGAGCTTCTGTGACACACCCCGGCGCGCATGACTGACAGCTCCACAGGGCTTCAAAAGCAGCTTTCTCAGGACACCACCAGGCCTGTCTTCCAGGTGACTGGTTGGACTTGAACCTCTAACCTTCTCATTAGCAGCCTTAACTGTCTGTTCAAAGCAGCTGGCCTTGCTGAAATGAACACACGGGGCAGCCGGTCTGCCCTGCGGGGAGCTGACGGCAGGGGTGAGGTGTGGTTGTCACGCGGGAATTCTAGAACTTTATTTCCTTGTACACAATCGTTTGTATCCTCAGTACCACGTACGTTTCGGTTTTAATAAAAAACCACGATCTGTGAGTTCCCTAACAATGTGGCCATCCCGCAGTGCATCTCGGGACACACCTGAAGCAGGCAGGCCAGGCCTCCCCCTTCCATCTGATCTTCCCACGAGTCCCCCAGCCTGGCACTGCCTCGCCTCTGACCAGGGCAAAGGTCCTACAAGAAAGGTGTGTGTGCCGTGGGGTGAGGACAGAGGAAACTGCTCCCCACAGCGCTGAACAAACAACAGGGCCTGTGGGGGCTTCATTCTTCCTATTGCTGCCCCTCAGGTCGTCTGAACCTCAGCACAGACATGGCTGGTGCCCGGTCCACACCCGCACAGCCCTGCAGTGCCCGCCCTCACCGCCTGGCACGTCCTGAAAGGCACCTGCCATGCCCTAAACCTACACACTGCTGCGTGCTTCCCATCTCACTCTCGGCCCCACGTGGTCACAGCCCTCACCCTGCACGGTCACCATCCTCACCCCCATGTGGTCACTCTCGGCCCCACGTGGTCACAGCCCTCATGCTGCACGGTCACAGTCCTCACCCCCACATGGTCACTGTCTTCACCCCCATGTGGTCACTCCTCAAGCCCACGTGATGACAGTTCTCCCTCTGCCACAAGGGCACAGCCCTCACCCTACTGGTCAGCCCTCGCCTGTCCTCTCCTGCACTACCCTAAGCCCGCGGCAGAGGCTCCCTAAGCACTTGCTGGAGAACAGAGCTGGAAACAAGGAGGTCACAACCTGAGGCAGCACGTGCCCTCGCGCCCAGTGTCCAAGTCTGGAACCCACGACTTTTGTTACTATCTCGGGAGGAGTACAGCAGGCCTGGAACTCATTACCTTCATTATTATCTCGGGAGGGATACAGTGAGTTAGCAGTTCATAGAGCCGTCCTCGGACCTCCAGCAGCCTGATGGGAACAAACAGAGGAGACGTGGTAAGACCTAGCGTGGGGCTCCCCAGGCCCTCAGCACCGTTTCCCTGATCATGAACCACCAACAAGGAGCATTTTCCCTGGCGCACCTCAGGGCACCCCCACTTTGCTCCCACCCACCTCAGGGCACCCCTGCTTTGCTCACACACGCGCACACACTGAAGCAAGTGCTGTGAGACGGTGAGACACTTCAAAGACCTGACTTCCCAGTGGTATCAAAGCCACGTCGACCTCTGCTAAAGTCTATGAAGTGTGAGAAAGTTTGAAATATCCTGGGAATTACTAATGCGGAACAGAAACAGGACATGAGCCCACCCTGCTGGGAGAAGAGTGCTCACAGACGCTGGACGCATGGCCACCCGGCCTCCCCCGCCACCACCACAGCATCGGGGAGCGATGGTTAAGTGAGGTCGGCCCGTAGTTTATGAACACGGGACACACATTTAGGAGTTTTGACTAATTCCAGCTCGTTTTCTTAGATGAAAACCTGTAGACCGTTTTTAAAGACAGTGTTTATGTCCAAGATGGTGAAACCCATCAAAGTGCACCCGACAGAAGCCACGGTAATTTCCGCTGCTTCCTGCATTTCTGGAAGTCGGACAATGGGTAAGGAAGAGTGAAGAACTGAGGCCTTGGAGCGGACGGGCTGGGGAAGAGCACTGACCATCCCATGGGCGGCCAGGACAATCACTCTGTCTTAGAGGGCCACGAGGGTGCTGCTTCAAGGCGAGGACGGTGAGACACTGTCACCAATGCCTCAGGCATGATGTCAGGAGGTCCCAGTCCCTAGAAAAAGGTGTCATGCTGAGAAAAGTGGCAGGTCAGAGAAAGAGGGAGATAGTGGACAAGGTGGAGTGGGCACTGAGGCCAGAGCAGTGGCTCCAGTGTCAGAGGGGAGAGGACGGTGCCAGGTTCAGAGCTGGTGTTCACCGGGTCACCACGAGCTGTGACGGGCTCGAGAGCCCCTGACCACCACCATCAAAGGATTACACAGGAGCCGAGGCTTCAAGAGCCCAGGCATGAGGTGACTCATGGCACAAGACTTTATCCTGAGAGGTGTTTAAGGACAGGTCGGGCTGCTAAACCAGGGGTCACAGCAGTCGAGACCCACCGGAGGGTCGGCTAACGGTCAGTCCAGACTCGACGGCAACAGGTTTAAGGCTTTTCACATGAAAACATCAGCACTAGAAACAAACGACTTGGTGGGAGTGATCTCCCAACTCTGCGTGCTGAACAGTTGACGTAGGACCCGTGTCCTACACAAGTGTGACGTGACAGACGCTGAGAGCAGCCTGCGCGTGTCAGCACCGACGTGGATTCATTTACATCACTGCATCTCCTAACCAAAAATAAATCCTGATTTCCTGTGCACTGCCTTCCTAGTGGGCGTCCTTAAACCCACTCGATTCTAACGCACTGCCTCCCGCAGGTCCAGCAGGTTCTAGGAGCTCAGAGCCGCCAGGTCAAATCCACTGGCCTTGTCCGGTCCGGATCTACAGTGTGGAAGCAGGTCAAGGCCATCACGCCTCAGCATCCGGTCTGCAGATCCCAGGAATGGAGGGAGGTCGTCACGCCTCAGCATCCAGTCCACGGCATGGGTCTGGTTCTGAGCTTCACAGAGCACCCCGCTTCCCTCCTGGGGAGCGTTGGTGCGTTCCAATGCCACTAATTTAGTCAGCAGCTGAGTGATGAGCTCCTGGACTGCGGGCCACTCTTCACGTGATTCCGTTTGCAAACGCTTCCAGCAGAGAAGCCTGGGGTCCTGCGACCATGCCCTCATGCCACGACGGAGTGCTCCTGGACAGGATTCCGTATCTCCAAACACCCAAAGGGTAATGCGCACGATAATGCTTCCCGTGCAGAACAAGCACTGAATGCTGGCGGTTACTGGAACTAGGACATGAAGACTGCCCAGACTGAGCAAGCAAACTTCTGGACAGGTGCTGACGCCGCGGCCTGGCCTGGCCTCTCCTCAGCCTGCAGCAGTCGGCGGCTGGGAGAAGCGCTGGGTCCTCTGGCCACAGCACAGCGGGTCATGCCCACGGTCAGGAGCCCACCTGAGCGGGAAGCAGCACCTCTCCTGCCTGGGTTCACTGGTGAGCCGACAAATGCTGTGGGGAGTACAGGCGGGGGCGTGGACATCACCCGAGACTGCAAAATTCCCCTGGAAACTGTCCTGTGGGAACACCTGCACCTCAACTCCGGGAAAGCAGCACCGTGCTCACACCACCAACTGCCGTCCTCGAAAAACCGGCAGACGAGAGTCCACCTTGATGAGGGGCCGGCGGCCTCGACTCACGTGACCCCAAACCCCCTGCTCCTCCACCGTCGACAGGATCTGCCTCCCAGCACCCCGTTTTCAGAGGCTGGAAGCCCTAACAGAAGCACAGTGCCCAGCCTCGTGCAGAGCGGCCACTGTACTCGGAGCCCCTGCAAGTCCACTGGCCCATTTCCCACCAGCACACGTGCATTCTGTGCCTCTGGGTTCCGTCCTGGCCACTCTCACTGCTTCTAGTACTGTTCACATCACATCCAGTGCGGCATCAATACGCTTCCACGTGCACCAGGAAACCAGCCCACTCACGTCGCGTGCCGCGCTGCACGGGCCTGGGTCCCTGGGCAGTACCCCAGGGGGCACACATCTCCACGGTGGTCCAGTGACTGGACCGTCACGACAGGACACTCAACACAGACGGACAGGCTGCTCACAGGCAGCCGTGACCCAGAAGTGATGGGCCGATGACCTTACCTGAACGCCGCTTCAAGTCCAAAAGGAGACAAACCAGAAAGCTCAACACATCTAAACGACCAGCCGAGCCCTGCAAGGCCGGCGACGCCCTCCCAGCTCACTGATCTCACGTAAACGCTGCCCTGACCTGGAGGCAGCATCACACACCCCGAGCTCACACGTGGGCGGCCCGAGCCTCAGAACTGCTCAAAGGAAGCAAACCCGACCTTAGAGACAGACGCTCACCATGTGGGTTCAGGGTCCAACTAATCCCTAACAACAAAGCCGGGGTGCTCCTGAGAGGCGAGGAGGGGGTGTGCCCCCAGAGGAGCCAGTCCCTAAAGGAGGACATAATCACTGGGGAAACAGACGGTCACGAAGGCGAGGGTCAGCCCCTCAGGGGGAGGCTAGGACGGCGGCTGCAACAGTGGGCGTGACAAATACTGTGTAAGACCATTACTGTAGAGACAGAAAGACAACTAGTACCAACGGGCAGGAGGATCCTGGGGGGGGCACAGGGGTGAGGGTGGGCAGGGGGCTAATCACAGCAACTTGGTGGGGGAGGGACGGGCGGGTGAGGGGAACGGGAAGATCCAGTGTGAGAAACAACGTAGGTGACCTCTGTAAGCGGAGCAGTAAGAGCCTGTGCTAAGGAAAAGCACGCAGCAGCCGTGAGGAGAGGCGCAGACAGTGCAGGGAGGCGGCGTCCGCACCGCTGGCCGCAGCACCACGGGCCCGGGCGGCCGTTACCTCGGAGGACTCTGCTGGCTGACGATGGCGTGGGCAGTCTCCCTCAGGTACACCTCCCAGTCCGCCTCGGGGATCTCCTGGTCTGCGGTGAACGGGTACCTGCGTGACAGAGCGGTGCCAAGCTGCAGGAGCAGCGCCCGTGGGCCACCCAACACCCCCAGCCTTCCCCACCCCCCACGGAACACCCCACATCCCTTCCGCCTTGTGGTCAGCCTTGCATACCCTGGACTGCCTCACAGACGTCTAGGGCGTCCCATACCCCTGGACCGCCCTGTGCTCCCTGGACCGCCTCGCACCCCATGGACCACCCCACCACCACCCCCACTCCTGTGGGCAGCCCCACACCCCCTAGACCATCCCACCTCCCCATGGCCCTATAGCCCCCCCCACACTCCTGTGGTCCGCCCTGCACCCCCCGCCCGCCCCCACTCACTGCTGCACGCGGCAGGCCTCACACATGAGGAGGGCCCTCCGCAGGTTCCGGCCGGACTTCTCGGCCAGCCGCTGGGCCAGCGGGGCGGGCAGCGTCAGGCCCTCCTTCTTGCACACGGTCGACAACACCTGGCAAATCTGCAGGGGAAACGGCAGCACCGGAGTGAGACTGTCCCTGTGTCTCCACCGCCAGGACCCGTGTCACTACCACGCGCAGGGCTTTACCGCCGGAACCGCAGGACCGGCCTGCTCCCGCTGCTCCCTTCGTGACGAGGCAGACAAGCTGCTCCTGCCACGTTGCCTCTGCCAGCACTATTCAGAGCACCCACAGAACGTCCACCCTCTGCTCGCCGTCCCAGGATTCATCTCTGCTCTGCCCTCCCTGCCCTCAGGGCACCCTCCTGGGAAACGCTGCCCTGCTGCCCACACGTGGAGCAGACAGCTGCTGGCGGTACTGGTCACACACAGGCCTGTCAGCTGTGTGTGAAGGCGGAGTTTTGTTACAGGTTCAAAGGGGGACTGAGGGACAGTCCCTCGGGGACCTGGCGAGGCTTGGCTCTGAGCTCCGCTCCTGCCAGGCCCTCCCGTGCTCTGTTAGCGTGGTCGGTGGAGGGACATGGGAACCAGGTGGTTTTCCTACTACACGGATTTTTACTGGCGGCTAAAACAAAGAAGAAATACGCTGTGTGGTCCCTCCCCTCAGGCCCGGGTGCCCCGGTCGCCTCCCTCACAACCCCTCCGTCCACACACTCCTGACTCGTCCCGCCTCTCCTGACAGCACAGGACACCCCTCAAGGATGTAACCTCTACAGAAAGAGCAGCGGGCCTTTCCTCCGCGGTGCTACACTGCCTTCAATTCAGGCTAGGAGCCCAAAGCAACCGCCTGCCACCCAGGCCCAGAAACCACTCCTCCACCCACCGAAACGGGCTGAGAGAAGACACCGCACCCTGGTCCTGAACTAGGCAGCACCGTGGACCCTCAGCGAGAGGGACCGCGAGGACGGCCTGGGGGAGGGCAGTGGGGTTCCGCTGAGTCAGCAGGAGCTGAGTCATGGCACCCAACAAGCCAGGTGAGGCCAACGAGGGCTTAAAAAGAGCACGTCTCATGCGCGGCCAGAGAGACTGCGTGTTTAAGTACACATCTGGGAGTCCTGGGGTTGTATGGACGGGAGGGGGGAGGGAGTAAAGGGGAGAGTGAGAGTGTGTGTGTAAATGCACACTTGCCGTCCCAGGGTTGTGTGTACTGTCCGTGTGCCTGTCTGGGAGCCCCGGAGCATGTGTGTATGATGTGAAGGTACTCGTCTGGGAATCCAAGCTGTGTCCACTGTGTGTGGGGACTTGAAGGTATCTGTGTGGGAGGCCCCAGGCTGTGTGTATGGTGTATGTGTGTGAAGGCGCCCACCCATCTGGGAATCCCCGGGGTGGGTGTGTGTGTGTGTGTGTGTGTGTGTGTGTGTGTGTGTGCCCACCCGTCTGGGAGTCCCCAGGCTGTGTGTACAGTGTGTGTTTTGTGTGTGTGAAGGTGCCCACCCTCCAGGGAGTCGCAGTCTCGGGTGCAGCGCGTCCATGTGATGCAGGCAGAGTCTGGGAGTTTCTGGGTGGCACAAACGGTCAAGCACTCCCCTGTGAACGTCAAGCCTGGCCACTTGGCCCCCCGAGGAGAGGCCATGGGAGCAGAACCTGGTCACCTGTTCCCGTGAGACCGGCAGCACGAGGGGCCACAAGGCATCCCAGTCTGCTCCATGCACGGTCGCTCTGAGTGGTCACCTGCGCCTGTGAGGGCAACAGCACAAGGAAACCACAGGGCAGCCCTACTCCGCTCCACTGAGGCCTGACACTTCAGAGAGTGACCACCGACCACATGCTGGTCCACACATCCCAGGGCCGCCTCCGTCCCCGACAGGCCCACTGCGCGTCCAGAGAAGCCTCCCAGCCGACTCACGTCCTCAGTGCTCGGTGCAGGCACGCGGACAGCCAGGCAGCGACTGCGGATGGGCGCGATGACCTTGGAGGTGGAGTTACAGCAAAGGATGAGCCGGCAGGTGGACATGTACTTCTCCATGGTCCGGCGCAGGGCGTGCTGCGCGTCCTTGGTGAGCTTGTCCACCTCGGTCAGCAGCACCACTGTGTTGGGACAAGCTCTCACGTTAGCACCCCCTGTCCTCACTGCCCCTCCCAACCTCCCCACCCGAGCCTGCAGACTGAGCACAGCGGGGCCAGGACCACTCCGCCGGACAAGGCGAATCAAGGTTAGCTGTACGGTGAGGCTGACTGAGCGCGCTTCAACATGTCCACAAACCAGGCATTAGGAGCACTACCAGTCACTCACACTGACCCCGGGGGACGGAGAAGCGTCCAGGGCTGTGGGCATCACGGGCCCACGGAGCTCGGCGGCCTGGCTGGTCAGGAGCTGCCCCACCACCCCAACCCGCCCGCGGCTCCTCAGGGAAAAGACGGGCGGTCGGCTCCAACACTGCAGCACTGAGCTGCTCTGACGCTTCTGAGGAGCCAACTGGCTTCTCCACTCCTCCCTCTGGAGCTGGTGACACTGAACCACTGACCTTCTGGTTAGCAGACAAGAGGTTAACCGCTGCACCACCAGTTCTCTATGTCCATCGGAAGAACAGTCAGGTCACAATCGTGCACTCTGTTCTCAAAGATCAAACTGAAGCACAGACAGACAGCCTTCACTGTCCCCTCAAATTCCACTCCACTTGGCTATGTACAGCGGACCCTGGTGGTGCGATGCACTGTGTCAGCTGACAGCTCAAGCTCTGCTGGCTCGAGGCCACCAGCAGCTCCCGGGGGAAGCACGACGCTGTCTCCTCTGGTGAAGATCTGCTTCCTCGGAAACCCAGTGCGGCTCTGCTAGAAGCGTCTGTTCTGGGGCTCCCTATGAACCCCATCAGCACACACTCTGCCTCATGGTTCCCTAGCACCCACCACCATGTCCCTCAGGACGTGGCACGGCGCAGGGGTGGACACATCCTGCTGGGCACCTGCCCCGCTTCCGGCCCTCTCAGACACACCTTTGAAATCCCGCTGCGAGCCGGTCTCCAGCTGCTGGGACTGCGCCACGGTCTTGAGCATCTCCTGGATCACCACCCGGTCGCTGTTCCCAGCATCGCTGTGCGACACAAACACACATCAGCGCTGCAGCTGTCACCCTGGGTGCTGCGTCCTCAGCCCTCACCAGTTACCCTCACGGACAGTGAAGGCGAACCTTCATTAACGCTTAGTCATATTCACGAGGGACCTCTGGAAAAAAGGAAGAGCGAGCGCTCTGGTGGCCCGGTGGTAAGAAGCTGCACTGCCCAGAGGCAGGGGTTCGAATCCACCAGCTGCTCCAGGAGGAGGTGCAGTCTCCTCCCCGCTGCCTCTGAAGGATCTGCCGTGGGCGGTTCTGACTCAGCCGCGCAACAATCACATTCACGGAGTCCGAGCTGTGCTGGTTCAGTGTGTGGCTGCGAAGCACAAGGCTGGCGGGGGAACCCACCACTCCAAGAAAGAGCTGCGATCCACCTCTGTAAAGGGGCAGCCTGGGAACCCCCAGGGCAGTTCCACTGTCCTCCCGGCCGCCATCAGAGACGGCAACAGGGCGTGTGCTGCAGTCAAGAAACTTTAAAGCGGAGAGTTTAGATGGATTAAAAACACCACCGGGCGCAGGGCTCCGTTACAAGTTGACTGCCAACACGCAACACACTAGCCGCTCCGTTCTCACTAGAGAAGGGCAAGAGGTGCCCTGTCAACCCGAGGGCGGGTCTGAGCCCCCCGGCTCTTCCAAGGACAGAAGATGCCTAGTCTCTTCCCACACACTTGTGGCATTTGCAAGTGTTTGAAGGCAGAGTCAGTCCCGCCGCTCTAAGGACAGCCATGGAGTGCTGTAAGGAGGGTGAGCGCTGGTGTGTCAGGACCGGCCACAGCCACACTGCCCGACTGGGCGACTACCGCGCAATGTGCTGAAGCACTGTGCCACCAGGGCTCCTTGGGCGTGGGCTGGTAGACTACTGTACCTCCCCCCAGAGAAGCAGCAGACACAAAGGAGAGGCTGAGAAAGCTGGGAGCCCAGCTCCACTGGGAAATGCTCCCCTGAGACGTCCCTAACTTCTGACACACGCTCCACTTCTCAGTTCTCTATGTGCCAGGACAGAATTGGGGGCGGGGGGAGGGTGTAACGACAAGAGGCTGGCAAGACGGACAGGAACCTGAACCTCAGGGAGATGGCAGGAGGAGGAAGGACATGGGCATGACGTGGAACTGTCACTGATGTCACAACAAGACACGTCTGGGGCTGAACGGATTCACACGTGCTCTTCAACTATGACTCAAGTCACAAGAGTTAAATAAAAACATACCACACAGCAAGGGACCCTGCTCGCCACTACAGGACTCAGCAGATGGGTGGTGTTACTACTTCAGGGTAAGAGGAAAAGGCCTAAAAATGCACAGGCTCACCCCTCCCTCGCATCTCCAGCGCAGCAGCCCTGCGGTCTCACTAGATGGGCTCCCATCTCCTGATTTTGTTTCAAGAAAGGATTTTCCACCCTTCTTTTTTGCTGTTGTGGGATTCTTTTTAGTCTAAAACCTTCTTCTTAACATGCCCATTTCTACATGGGAGCAACTTACCTGGGATTAACTTCGAGGTGGTAATTACTTGCAATGGTGCTGATTTCGATTTTCTTTTTCGAGGGTGTCTAAATAAAAAGGAAACCACTAAGTCTTTTCAAGCGTTATTCACTCACGATTTCCCCCTCTAGTCTAAGGAGCGTGCTGGGGCAGCTGCTCGTGGAAAGGCGCCTCACAGGAGCGAGGCCCCGTCAGCTTCCCCGGAGGCTGGTCCCAGAAGTGCGGTGCACAGTGTGTATAAACCGCGCTGCCTGGGGGGGCTCTCGTGGGTTCTTCTTTTATTATACAAACAGTTCACACTCACTATAAAGCCACCAGCTTGGACAATCACTGATGCTTTCATCTCACTAATATCACTTACTTAGTGTGCAGATAAACCTACAATTTCACATGAATTAGGCCGTGTCAGCACCCCGTCTTCCCTGACGTTTTCCGTTATCCTGGGAACCCCAACCACCCCCAGCTCCCACTGCACACAATCTGAGTACACCACGACCCAGCCTTCTCTGCGGTCACACACCAGAAGCAGTGTGTAGTGTGCTTGTATCAACCCGATGACAGTGAACTGTTTACACATCTACACACACACACATATTCCCTGGCCAGTCCTGACTCATAAACTCGTGCAGCACAGAGCAGAACTGCTGGGGGCCAGCGTGGCGTTGGGTCCGAATCAACAGCACATACGGCAACCACAGTGGTAGGTGAGTCAGGACCCGTCACATGGGAAAAGCCTAGCCCTGCACTCAGCCCGCACCTGGGCCAGCCAGGCCCCCCATCCTTCCAGGGTGTTCACCCCACAGCTACCATCTTCCTCGAAGCCTGCCTTTCACTGGGACCCCCTTCAACCATGCACAGCCCAGGGGATGGAGGGCAAAAGGCCTGAGGTTCAAATCCCCCAACGTCTGCTCGAAAGACAGACAGGCACTGTCCTCCTGCACAGCCCCAGCTGGGAGCCTGGACGGAGGGCGCCGTGGCTGGAAGCAGCGCCGAGGCAGCTCGGGGTGACGCACAGCAGAGCTCTGCTCCAGCCTCGGCGCCCTCCACCTTCCCACGGACCCCGACTCAGGGTGACGCTGAGCACAGTGCACAGCTGCCCCAGAGCGTGTCCAAGAGGGGTCTAATGAGCAAGTTGTCGTGCTGCCAACCCAAAGGCACACAGTTCAAGTCCAGCTGCTTGATCTACGGGGAAAAGATGGGTGATCTTCACAGCCTGTGAAAACATGCTGCAGGGTGAGCTGAGCCAGTTCTCGCCCCATAACACTTAACAGAAGCCTTTACAGAAGCACACTCTCATCTCTCTCCTGTGAGCAGCTGCTGGATTTGAACCACTGACCTCCCACAAGCAGCCATGCTCTCGGCTGCGCACCCCCAGGGCTCCTGGTGGTCACTCCGGTGAGATCTGTGCTTCCCTGGGAGCCTTACTGACATCAGGCAGCGGGCAGTGCTGGGCCAGGGTGGGCAGGTGGCCCAGTCAGTGCTGGAAAACGGCTACAAATATTTGGAGAACTTTAAGGTGAAATGCTTACCGTGATGGTCTGATGCTCAATTCTCAACTTCTCCACGCCAGCACCATAGAGCTCACGCAGAATACACATGATCCTGGTCTTTTTCCCAGCACCTGACGGTCCATAAACTAAGAGGTGAGGGAAGTCGCCACATTGCACCTGGGAAGGAAAAACCAAAATACTTTCCAATGTTGTGACAATCGATTCCAGCTCAGAAGAGCCCAGAGGACACCCCCGGACAGAGCACTGGGCAGGTTCAAACCTCCAACTTCCTGGCTCCCAAGTGAGCATTTAACTACGGAACCATCAAGACACCTTCATTTTTCGCTTCTCAGGTAGAACTAAACTGCTTTTAAATACTATTTTGCTTATCTACTAGAAATCCTCTCTGTGCGTGCACATTCCCATGCACCTGCACACATTGCAATCCCCAAGGTACACTGTCCAAATCCACCAGATGCTCTAAGGAGAAGAATGGGCAACCTCCTTCAGTGAAATTAACTGTCTCTGAAAACCTTCTCAAGGGTCTACTCTGGGTTGGTTCCAACTCAACAGCACACAATAACAACAATAGAAACCGTGTGTGTGTGTGTGTGTGTGTGTGTGTCTATAATGTAAAAATTCACAGGTGTCCCTCTGGTGGGTGTCTGAGCATATAAATCCCACTTACGACTGACTGCCCATCTTCTCAGAGAATTGTCTGTGGATTCAAAACAGCAGCAAGACCAGGCTTTTGAACGGCCACACCCCTCATGACAGACCGCACTGGGGCTCCCCACCTATACACACATGCACAGAGGTTCGTATCAGATACGCCTTTCTCTATAAAGCACATACATATGGACACACTTTTAACATTTTGCTGGTAGCTTAGTGGTAATGAGTTGTGCTGCCAAGTCAAAGGCGTGAAGTTCAAATCCACCAGCTGCTGTGCAAGCGAAGGAGGGGCTCTCGCCCCCATCCCCTGTGCTTTGTTGTCTTTGTTGATATGTGCCATCAAGTCGCTGTGACTCATAGCAACCCTGTGTACAAGAGCCCTACACCCTGCTCTATCCTGTGCCAACCTCGCCGTCTCCGACACACTCATTCCTACCACCCCAATCACAGAATTGATCCATCTCATCGAGGGTCTTCCTCTCCTGCACCGTCCCTTCACTCTCCCAAACATGACGTCCCTCTCCAAGGACCAGTCCCTCCTTGCACCATGCCCAAAGTATGTCAGACGAAGCTTCAGAATCCTTGACTCCAAGAAGCACTCCGGCTTCACCCTCTCCAGGACAAACTTGTTTGTTCTCCTAGCAGTCCATGGTATATTCAACACTCTTCTCCAGCACCACAGCTCAAAGGCATCAATTCTCTATCATCCCTATTCACTGTCCAACTCTCCGATGCATAGCACGTAATTGGGAAGACTATAGCCCGGATCAGGCTCCAGCCTGACGTCGTTGCTCTTCAGTACTCTTGAGAGGTCCCTCACAGCTGACTTTCCCAATACAATTTGTCTCCTAATTTCCTGGCTGCTGTTATCAAGAGTGTTGACTATGGAACTGAGTAAACTAAAACTGTTAACTATCTCAGTGTCTTCACCATCCATACTGATGCTGCCAATTGGCCCAGTGGTGAGAATCTTTGTTTTCTTGATGTTGAGCTTCAATGCATATTGAAGACTGCAGTCCTTGACCTTCTGCAGCAAGCGCTTCAAGTCCTCCTCAGTTTCAGCGAGCAGGGTTGTGTCATCTGCGTGATGCAGGCTGTTGATGACTCTTCCACCAATCCTGATGCCACATTCCTCCTCGTACAGCCCAGTGTCTCCTGACGGACTCCTTTCTTGATTTTGAACCATGTAGTATCTCCTTGCTCTGTTCTGACGACTGCCTCTTGGTCCAAGTATAGGTTTAGTGTCTCTAAAAACCCATGCATTCCAACTCCACATGAACAGTGCATGTGGTAATAAACTGTGAATGAGGCAGCACTGGTGGCCTCCTGGTAAGGTGTTGTGCTGTCAAGCCAAAGGCCCGAGGTTCAAGTCCATGAGCAGCTTCTCAGGAGAAAGAAGGGCAATGATCTAACAGTTTAATAACTGCTGAAAATACAGGTACTTGTTTTCTTCTTAATGAACATTTACCTCCAAATATAAAACTAAGACGTGATTGCATTTAGAAAATATTTTTAACTACATGGGCATTTAGTTATTTTGGAACGTATTCTGGGAAATATATTCACATTGTTCATAACATCTCTGTTGTTAGGTGCCATGGAGTCAACCACGTCTCACAGTGACCCTGTGAACAACAGCTCTGAAGCCCGTCCTACGCCGAGCCAGCCTTATCGTCTCTGACACACTTGCCCCATTGCCACAGTCAGTGTCCATCCATCTCTGTACTGTAGCCCATCCCGATTATAAACAGAGATGCAGTATCTCCTTACCGTCCCTTTAACCAAACACAATGGTCGGAGGGCAGGCACTGTCAAGCAAGGAAAGCTCTGGTGGTATGATGGTTAAAGCATTTTGGATGCAAAAAAAAAGATCATTGGTTCGACCTTTCTAGTAGCCTAGCAGAACGAGGAGGAGGGCTGCTCTTGTACAAGATGACAGCTGTGGAGACTAGAGGGTGGTTCCCCTCAGTCAACAGGGCCTTGAGAGGAGCCAGCAGGAGGCTGGGTCTCTGGAGCACTGCAGGGACTGGTGGGAGGGGCGGGGGGCAGAAGCCTCCGTAACCCCATTGGGGGCAGGGAAGTTGGTCATCTCTTCTGTTGGGGTCAGCTTGGGGAGGGGTGACTGGAAAGGAGGGTGTATCCTAACCAGGCAGCTGAAGTCCTCCTGGAACGGCCAACAAGTGAAAGCTGTCAGAGCACAGCGCAAAAAAAGGGGCGTCCACTTGCACACCCTGAGTCCAGAGCAGGGACGGGCGAGACACACCACACACACACACACACACACACACGCATGCCCGCACGCGCACACATGCTGGGCATCCCAGGCTAGGTCTGTGCCCTGTGTGGAGTCCAGAGCAGGACGGGCATGATGCCTCCCACACACACACATGCTGACCATCCCTGTCTCCGTCTGTGCCCCGTGATGAGGCTGGAAATGGTGACCAGATTATCACTTAGGAGGTGCTGCCAACAGGGACCTGCTGACGTGAGATACTGTCAACTACAGACCCAGTGAACAGATCTAACTTTCTTCGTCCACATCATCCTCCCCCTCGTGGATAAGCTCAAGCCTGACATTAAATTCACTGAGCAGTTCCATCATGTTGAGGGCCCTTTCTCTGACTCTCCACTTTGTCTTCTTCCAAGAACTGGTCCCTGCTGACAGCATGTCCAAAAGCAGGGGCTTCACCACCCTTGCCTCTAAGAAGCCCCTGGCCGCACCTCCTCCAGGACAGATGTGTGCTGTCCACAGGTGTTCAGACATCAGTGCCATTCCAGGTGCTGGGGTGAAACCACAGTGTCAGGCCAGAGGTCTGCTCACAGCACAAACCTGCAGCGATCGGGGCTCGGAACGCATGCTCTGGACTTGTTCTGAGAAGGGAAGCAGCTGGGGGAAGCATCCGGCCTGGAAGACGCTCAGGAGATGAAGTGTCACAGGGATTGCAGCCAGAGGCTTGAGCAGACAGCGGTTCATTCCCTGCACGCGGGGTCACTCGGGCCAAGACTCCAGGGCAATGACAAGACCTCACAAACTCCTAAGATCCTGCTGGAGGGAAGGCTCGCAAATAACTATTGCTGAAGTACCCTGACTGTGTGTGTGTGTGTGTGCGTGTCTGTCTGTCTGTCTCTCCTTCGAACACATGCACTGAACACATAAGAGAGAACCAGCTCGCGAAGCCGCACGGGCTGTGGGGTTCTGACCAGCTCACGGGACCAAAACGTAGAAGCTCGGTCTTGCATACGTGAGCGGTGTCGCTAGGAGACTACTCTTCGGAAGGGGTCATGCTTGGGAGGGTGGAGGGGCGGCGAAGGAGAGGAAGACCGCCGACCGGTGGAGGGTCAGTGCCCACCGCAGCTTGCGAGGGTGACATGGGACAGGAAGGGTCAGATCTGCTGTTCAAGGGCTCGCTATGGGTCGCGCCCTGGACAGCACCGGCCAACAACAGCCCAGGACACGAGACTTCTATGCATGTCCGCAAGCCTGCGAGCGGGACGCCGCCCCAAAGTGCCGCTGGACAGAGGCTCCGGCGCGACGGCCCAGCGGCCAGCAGAAGCCCCGCGTCCTCCCCGCACGGCCCTCGGACCCGCGTCCTCCCGCGCCGCCCGGCCCGCCGCTCACCAGGTTCCGCAGCTGCGCCGCCTGCTCGCGGTGGAAGTCCAGGCGCGACAGCGAGCACGGCCTGTACTTGTCCACCCAGAGGGTCATCCTGCCGCTGCCGCGCTCGAAATGCCCGCGCGCGCCGCCCGCCCGGAAGCCGACTCGCGGATTCCCGCGTCGCCGTCTCTGACGTCACCATGACGCCCGCCAGGCCGGAAGCCGACCGGCGGATTCCCGCGTCGCCGGCCCTGACGTCACCACGGCGCGCGCCGCGCTGCGCGGGGTGGACGGGGGCTCAGGAGGGCCAAGTTAGCGGCCGCGAAGGCAGCGCCCGCCCAGGGGCGCCTGTGTCGTGGGTTTCTTTGTTCCTGTTCGCTGAGATATTCCAAAAACTATTAAGTAAACTGGAAAATTTGGTTCTGATCCCCCGAGAGTGAAGTCGGGTAGTTGAGAGTCGTACCTTGCCTCCAGCCAATCATCATGCATTCAACTGAAACCCGTTAAACATTTACGATAAACTGTGTTTTCCACGCTAAAATATGTGCAGATGGAGCTTTCTCTTTTCAGTTGGCAGGTACCTAAAATAGCTTCAAAGATTTCGTTGTTTTTTAAAAAGCTCCAGAAACTCCTTTTCCCTTTCCTTAGCTCCAGACTCTTCTGAGATGCACTGTAATAAGAACAGAATAATAGCAATCGATTGCAGGTGTTTCTTTTTCCATATGAGGCTAGCTCTTTGCTGGGCATCTGTGAGGTGTCCTGGTGGCGTGGTGGCTCGGGCAGTCTAGAAGGTGGTCATGTGAACTCATCAGCATCGATAGGAAAGCGCACAGCCTTGGAAACCCTGTGGTCAGTTAGTGCTGCTGTGACCCTACAGGACGACCACTAGTCAGAATCAGCGCAGGGACAGGGCTGGCTTGGTGGCTTTGTATATTCATATGCCTTATGTAAATCTGAGGGAAACTAGCTGGTGAAAGGCCCTAACAGCTAAGTTACCACCTTCACCTCCTGCACCATAAAATCCGGACCTTTCTGGCCGTCCTTCAAGACAGCAGATGTCTTGTGGACGTCCAGGGACCACTCTGTCGACATTATAATTCAAATGGATCAATTTTTTGGTATTTCTTATTCACTGCACACCTTTTGCATATTCATATGCAGTGGTTGGCAATAAAATTACTTGAGCAGGCACCTTTGTCCTCAAATTGGATCTCTGGGCTTTTGTTAAAACGATAAAGAGGTCTTTGGCAGCTGATTTTCCCAGTGCAATACGTCATCTGATTTACAATAGGTTTGATATTTGATCACTGAGTCCTCTTTTCCATCTTATTCATTCTCACCTCTGCAGTCTTTCTTCTTTGTCTTTCCATATAAATGTTAGAATTAGTTTGTCACTTTCACAAAATGCTTGCTACAACACTCTTGGGATTGCCACCTACTGTTAATTTAGATCTATCTTTGAGCACTGTGAATGTCATCCTGTTGGCCTTAGAAATCATAAAAGATAAATTGTTCCACTCAAACACATTAAAAAATCGGTTGCACATTTCATGTAAGCCTTTTTATGTGCCTCTGCAAAGCACTTCCCCCTCCATGATTTAACTGTGCGATATATTTAACACATCTTCAGTTGCCCTTGCTACCGTCTTACAAGGCCGTGACGTAAGACTATGAGAATAGTCACACACAGATGATCAGAAGGAAAAAGCCTCTGACATGAAACTGTTGAGAAAACTACTGACAAACTTTAAAAGGCAAAATTTTATTAAATGTCCTGTATTGAAGGGGGGGAGTTTTATTCCAGGGGATTTTGTGATTCCCATCACTGCTTTGCCTTCTGTCAAGAACAAGGATTGTCCTCTTAATCTTGCTTGTTTACAGATGCAAACTTGTTAGACTGGGGTTGTTGGTCAGTGTCATCTGGACTGTGACTCAGCCGCCCTGTGAACCTGCCCGTCCTATACCATCCTCACCGTCTCATCTCGGACATGCGTGAGCCCGTTGTTAGTCACTGTCCGTCCACCTTCTGAGGGCCTTCCTCTCCTCCTCTGACCCTCCACCTTTCCCAGCACGATGTCCTTTGCCAAGGACTGACCCTGCTCCTGACATCGTGCCTAAAGTATGTGAGAAGGAGTAAGATGTGTATGTAAAGTACGTATGTGAATATGAAAACAGATTTACTTCAATGGAACGGCTTACGCAACTGTGGGGGTGGTAAGCCTAAATCCATGGAACAGGCTTGAGCCATCCACGGCCTTACGGGGTTATGGGGGGTGATGAATCCAAATTTTGCAGGTCAGGCTGATGTCCCAAAAACCAGCAGTCATGAGATGAGAAGAGTGCAGGATCAAGAGAACTTGAGCTTTGTCACATCATCCGTTTATACACCTGGAGACAAGTCATATGCCTGTAGATGTGAATTTTGGAAAAGGGATGGGAACCCCACACAACTAAACTGAGTGACTTCAGCCCTAAATTTAAAACTCCATCTTGCACTAAACCACTATTTTCATTTCTAACTTTCTAAATGAGATTCAGGCCACAGTGTTTCCAATCACCTACTATGCACCTGAGAGTTGAAGTGACTCAGGAAAAGTGGGACAGGAGAAGAATCCATGCCCATGAGCTGTGGTGTTGAAGAAGAGAACTGAACATCCCACAGATGGCCAAAAGAACAAACAGGCATGTCTCAGAGACAGTGCAACCAGAGTGCTCGTTGGAGGCAAGGAGGGCAAAGCTTCATCTCACGTTCTTGGACAAGTTGTTAGGAAACATTATTACTCTATGGAAAGTTACATCATCCTGGGGAAAGTAGAAGGTCATCAAAGACAGGAAGACCCCCAGTGGGAGGGACTGATGCACATGGACAGCAGTGAGCTCAAGTATGTCAGAGATGAAAAGGTAGGACCTGACAGGGTTAGATCTGTTGTTCACAGGATCGCTATTCTACCCTGAGTGAAGAATTACTTGGTTCCTAGTAAGAACATTTGTCCAGCTCTACCCTGGGCACCAGTAAGATAGAAACAGACTGATAATAGTAACTGAAGTTATTGTTGTTGTTAGGTGCTATTCATTCAACTGCAACTCATAGTGACCTGAAGAACAGCTCTGAACCCTGTCTCTCCCAGCGCCATCATCATGTTCTCTGACATACTCAAGCCCACTGCTATAGTCACGTCACTGTGTTAAGGGTCTTCCTCATTTCCACCCTGCTTCCACCTTCCCAAGCATGATGTCCCTTTCTAATGAATGGACTTTCCTAGCAACAGGCCCTCTGTATTTTGAAACAAAGCTTTATCATCTCTATCTCTCAGGAGAACTCCAGCTGTGCTTTCTCTAAAACATGTTTATTCTTTTGGCAGTCCATGGGATATTCAGTGCTCTTCTTCAACACCACAACTCAAAGGCACTGCTTTTTCTTCTGTCATCCTTAGTCATTGTCCAGCTCTCAGATGCATAGTAAATGATTGAAAAGACTCTGGCCTGAACCAGGCATACTTTAATCCTCAAACTGACATCATTGCTCCTCAATAATTTGGAGAGGTTCCTGACTACAGGCGTTCCCAGCAATATATCTCCTGATCTCTAGGTACCAAGTGTACTGATTGTTGATCCAGGGAAGACGAAGTCATTGACAGTTTCAATGTTTTCTCCATCTGTCATGATGTTGCCTTTAGGTCCAGTGGTGAGGATTTTTGTTTTCTAGACATTCGGATGCAATCCATACTGAAGGCTGTGTTCTTTCATCTTCTGCAGCAGCTGCTTCAAGTCCTCTTCACTTTGAGCAAGCAAGGTTGTGTCATCTGCACAACACAGGTTACTGATGAGTCTTCCTCCGATCCTGACGCCACGTTCTTTTTCATGGCATCCAGCTTCTTAAATAATTTGCTCAGCATGCAGATTGAACAGGTATGGAAAACTGATACAAGCCTGATGCACTTTCTTAACTATAAACCATATAGTGTTCCCTTGCTCTGTTCACACAACAAGTATAGGTTTCACATTAGCACAGTTAAGTATTCTGGAATTCCCATTCTTCTCAATGTTATCTATAATTTGTTATGATCCACACAGTCAAATGCCTTTGCACAGTCAATGAAGCATAAATAGACATTCAGCTTCAGTTGGGCCTTGCTCACAGCTCTTGGGCTAAGATCAAGCAAGAATCTACAATAGAAGAAGGCATTCCTGACCTCTCCTCCTCTTTGGGCTCTTGGGCCTGCAGCCTTTGGGGCTAGTGTGGAACACCAGCGTTTGTGACCTAGCCTGGACATCACCCTCACCTGGAACATTATCCTGCTGTGCCACCCATACCCCTCAGGTAGAAGGCTTCTGCGCTCACACACACTCATGCACGAGCACACACACACACACACACACACACACGGAGCAGGGCCCCATCCTGTCATGCCACACCACCACACACACAGAGCTAGGACCCCATCCTGATATGCCACTGCTGGCTTCAGATGGTCCCAGCCCCATGATTTTTTTAAATTATTATTAAATTTTATTAGTTTTAAGGAACATTTACAGAGATTTTGCATTTTCATTCATTCATTGTTGCACTGTTTTCTCTACCCTCCTCCCCAGTTCGTTCTTCTCCCCCGCCCCGAATGTCTGTTTTAATTGTCCAATTGCCACAGTGCTTGTCAAAGCCAGTTCTGATTAATCTCCTTTGTCAGTGTACCTTTGCCATTCC